ATATTAATATTTTATCAAAACAGTAGAAATTTTATAAATGTATTAATAATTATTATGTGTATCTGTATGTGTGTGTTTAAAAAATACAATCTAAAATATAATAAATATGTAAACAGAACTCTACTGTTTATTTTCCTAACTGAAATTTTTTATTTTTACCTTTAGGTCAGTGTACAATAAAAACATTCTTTTATAATTGATATATTATGTATTTGTGTATATATACATATAATAAATTTGTATACATATGTATGTATATAATTCTATTGAAATATTTGCTTTATTTATATAGGAGGTGACATGCCTAGCACTCGTGATATCGAACGGGCAGAACGTAATGGGAGATTTCGTTCACGAAGAAGAGGCAGTGCGAGCAGCGACGTGGTGAATCGCCACAGCTTCGATGGTATTGACAAGCGACACAGGAGACATGGCAAAAGTAAGAGTTCTGGAAAAAAAAAGAAGAAACGTTCACGAGATAAGTCATTAGAGACAATTCCAACTGTAGCTTCATCTGTTGTAAAACCATTGGTCGAATATTCCGACGTAAGTAGCGAAGATCTTTCAGAGCCTGAAGCGGGAGAGATACAATCGGAAGATAGTCGTGCCAATAGCTACACGGACGGAGAAGTACCTGATTCGTCGTTTCTTCAAAGGCGATATTATGGCAGTAGCCCAATTCGTACTCTTGGAGCGTCGCCTATCAGCATATCTCCAACACCGTCGGTTCAGCATCGACATTCCGATATGCGATACTCCTTGTCAAACGAGCAACAACAATCGACGACGATGCATGGTACGACACCAGAGTACGAAGAAGAATCGAGGCGATACGCCCGACGAAAAGAAAAGAAGCATAAACGCGAGAAGAAGAAGAAAAGAAGTCTGAGCCCTTCATCAAATTCAGGGAAAAAGAAAAAAAGAAAATCTAAGAGACATTCTCATAGCTTAAGCCCGCATCACGGTATTGTCGAGGAAATTGGTTCAAGTCCAAGTCGTGAGAAACAATCAATTATCGCTTCCGCTAATTGGTCTGAATCACCATCGTTGCCACTCAAGGACAACATGTCGCCTATTTCACCGGCTACGCCACGCGAACAGAGATGTCCTAGTGACGACGTGGAATTGGAATTGTCGAGGCAATCTCGCAACGTGACACCACCGTCTCTTTTATTGACGCGGCAGATAGAATCTCCGCATACACCTTTAATGCCTCCATGCGCCACGACGCCGGAGAATTTGAATAAAGGACTAGTTGCCGTGCCAAAGCACAGCAGTCCTGATCGACAGAAACTTAGTCCCAGTATCCACATAACGCGCCGGGCCAGCGTTAGTCCTGGACACATCGTTATAAATCGTAGGAAGCCGCACAGCCCGAGTCCACCGTCAAGACGAAGGGATCACAGTCCACCGCCACGAAGAAGAGACTTTAGTCCTACTCCGGTACTCCATAGACTTAGGCACAGCCCAAGCCCGGCTACCGTCAGACGACGAGAGTTTAGCCCGAGTCCTGGAAGTAGCCACAGACGACGAACGGATAGTGGAATTATCTCCCCTAAACGTAGAAGACGAGACGAATCCGATCGACGTGGCCACCGGCTTCATGATAAGGATAGGAGGGACAAACGGAAATCGAGATCGACAAGGAGTCCTACTGGGAGCAGGTACATTTTCGAGAGTTACTCTTTTCTATCATATTGAAACGTAATGTTGTAGTAAATTAATTTATCACGTCACGCATTCGCATAATAATTTCTTCAATTTTAGATTACATTTACCTTTGTCTCGATCACGATCGCGCAGTCCAGGAAGATGGCGGAAATTATCTCGCTCGAGGTCACGTTCGCGTCCCAGAAGAAGTCGCACCCCAAAGAGATCTCGCTCACCCAGCAAGTCCTGCAAGGCTTCGAGGAAACTCAAATCAAAGAGCCCGCGTCCTAGGATACCTTCTCCTTCTCCTCATAGATCCCGAGCTAGAAGCCCATCGAGCATTACCGCCCGAAATCTTCGAGTACAAGCGAAAATTAGCGAGACCAGTCTGTTTGCAGAACTCGTTAAGGACCGTAATATGAGAGAATTGGCATTTAAGAAGTTGCAGGCTGCAAAGGAAAAGGTCGGGAATCAAGATGAAGTGCAAATCATAGAGGGCTCCGACGAGAAGGACGGCGATGGCGGCAACGCGTCCTGCGAGAATAAAGCTTCCACTGACAATAAAGACAAACCTATAAATCACAAGGAGCAGCACGCAAAGGCTGGCGATAGTGTGGTCGACGTAACCGATATCCCTGTTCCGATGAGTGACGACAGCACTATAGCGTGCAAAACGCCACCATTGCCACCAACTGGTCAACCACCTAATGTACCATTGCCTAATCCGATGTCTGCTGCAATCAATCCGCTTGCTTCTCACACAGTTGTACATACTTCGCCTAATCCACCATCGGTGATGCCCAACAATTGTCCGATCGTCATGTCACACAGCCCGAATTTCCCGGCTCCTGCTCCTGCAGTGCAACCACCACCACCGCCGCCGCCACCACCATTGCCGCAACCTGCCGAACCTGCACCAACAGTCTTGGTTGGCGGGCAAGTGCCTACTCCTATACCCATGTCGGTGCCGCCAATCCCGTCGACACCGGTTCTGCCCAACATGTCTGTCCCACCGCCACCCATTCCACCTATTCCCGTTCCAGCGCCCAATACAATCATGTCAAAATTTAATCCACCCAATAATCTTGTACCACTTAAATCTGTGGATCCTCCCAAGCCTCCCATAGTAACGTTCACAACCAAAAGCTTAAAGAGACTACCTTTGCCACCTGGCATTAATCAGAATGATTTGGAAAGCATAGATTCCCCACCGAGCCGTTCTCCAAGTCCTCCAAGCAAAGCGCAGTTGAAGTTCTCGGCATTAACGAAACCAATGCAAAAAAAGGGTATCAAGGACCTGCCAATGCCACCGGGTGAGTTTTCAAATGAACTTTATACATTATTGTTTACTAACGACATTTTAACTTATCATTATCTTATCACTTAAACTATAGTTGTACCTGGATCGGAGGATTTGAGCGGCGAGGATGATCCAAATGCAACGCCGCCGCGTTTGAAGGTCGAACGAGTAGCACCAAAGCCAAAATTGAAAAGACCGAAAATACTAAAACGCAGAGGATCGCGAAACTGTCATGCTCCCATGTCGGCTTCCGGCGGTAAAGATTGGGGTGAACGATGCGTCGACGTATTCGAGTTTATTGCTCAGATTGGAGAGGGTACATATGGACAAGTGTATAAAGCACGAGATAAACGATCCGGTGTAATGGTAGCTTTGAAAAAAGTCCGACTTGAAAATGAGAAGGAAGGCTTTCCTATCACGGCGGTCAGAGAAATAAAAATCCTGCGACAACTCAATCATAAGAACATTGTTAACCTTAGAGAAATTGTTACTGACAAACAAGATGCATTAGACTTCCGAAAGGTACCTTTTTAATCATAGCTATATGCAATCTGTAGCAGCATTCTGTATTACAATATATTTGTCGGTGTTTTATTTATTAATAGAGTATTATGTAGAGTAATGTGATATAGTATCGTAGCGTAAGATATCGCTATCATATATAAAAAGAAAAAGAGAACAAACTTGCTATTATACTCGTATATTAAGTATAGAATTAATACGCTAATTTAATTATCTTCTACGCTATATTTCTCATTAATTTAAGATACTGACAAACACATTCAATTGGAGAGTATAATAATTTTACGATCTTTAATTTTTACAGAATTAATTAATTATGTCATCTTCTATGCTTTAGGATAAAGGTTCCTTTTACTTAGTTTTTGAATATATGGACCATGATTTGATGGGTCTGTTAGAATCTGGCATGGTGGATTTCAACGAAATGAATAATGCCAGTATCATGAAGCAGTTGTTGGATGGTTTGAATTATTGCCACAGCAAAAATTTTCTTCACCGGGATATTAAATGCTCAAATATATTGATGAACAACAAGTATATATGCGTTATTTATTGAGTAATTTGTTTTGTGCAATTACTCAATATAATGTAATGTATAATTTCAATAGGGGCGAAGTTAAACTAGCTGACTTTGGATTGGCACGACTTTATAATGCAGAGGATAGACAGAGACCGTATACTAATAAGGTGATCACTTTGTGGTATAGACCCCCCGAACTTTTACTGGGAGAAGAGCGTTATGGACCTGCAATTGATGTCTGGAGTTGCGGATGTATCTTGGGAGAATTATTTTCTAAAAAACCTTTATTTCAAGTAATAACCATTTCTCAAGCTAAAAAACATATTAATATTAATTTATTATTAACAAGAGTAATTTTTTTATTAACAAGAATAATTTTTTATTAGGCCAATGTAGATATGATGCAATTAGAGATGATTTCAAGGGTTTGTGGGACGCCCACTCCTGCTGTATGGCCTTCTGTGATAAAATTACCACATTGGCATACACTTAAGCCAAAAAAGCAGCATAGGAGACGTCTCAGAGAGGATTTCGCCTTTATGCCAGGAGCAGCCTTGGATCTCCTGGATAAAATGTTAGAATTGGATCCTGAGAAGCGGATAACGGCAGCTGATGCGCTTAAAAGTGCTTGGTTGAAAAACGTTCAACCCGAACAGTATGTTATCTTTTTGCGTCAGCTTTTCGTGTGTATTGGAATATGTATGGTTCTTCGTTCAAATCTTATAAAATGAATTACACTTTTACAATATATCAGGATGCCAGCGCCACAACTTCCAACTTGGCAAGATTGTCATGAACTCTGGAGTAAAAAGCGAAAGCGTTTGTTACGGGAACAGCAAGAGAGTGCTACAACAAAATTGCCTCTGCTTCCCTTTCCAAATAAAGGAGGTCCCAACAAGGATGATCTGTCAGATGTCGGGGGGTGAGTAAAGCCGTAAAGAAATCTAATTTACGGGTTGCTAAGATGTACGTCTTAATGCCAATTGAAAACTAATTTGCTTAGACATTTAGATGGCTGTGTACGACAGTTGTGTTTGGCATTTATTTTCTTTAGCAAAATGTATTGTTCAAGTAACGAGAATTTCTTGAAAGTGAGAAGTGTCATCGAAAAGAAAATGTAGTAGTATCTCTATGTGTTCCTTCCGATTCTCGTTTGCATGTCGACCTTCTTCCTCTAAACTTAATGAATCAACGAGTTAATTTTAGTTTCGTTCACAGTCGTTCGAACACGACGATGCCAATAATGCAGAACAATGGAAAATAGAAGCACGAAACATCCTTCTCTGTTCGTGGCTTCGCTCTACAGAGATTGTTTACTTTTAAACGATTGATTTGATAGACTGTATGAGATATACTTAACATATGTATTTTTCAGGGCATACGCTACATGCCTCGGCGATAATATATTTTACCATTACGAGATACATTATATTATTTAACTCTTTGGCTGCATCATGTAAAACTTTTATTTTAATTAGAAATAAAATAGTACAATATAGCTCAATTTTATTATTTTCATATTGATTGATTTAATATAAAAGGGCAATGTAATAAATTTATAAATTTATAATTTCTTCTATAGCTTTTTCTCTCTTACTACAAAATTTTCGCCTTTAATTATATTTATGATGTGTTTAAATTATGTGTTAAAGTATATACAACATTTGCAGCTAAAGGGTTAATTATCGTCCTACTGTTCATATCGAATCATTTACAAAGATTATAATGAAATAATTTTTATGATAACTATTATTATAATCCTCTATATGAATACCTAATAATCGCCACTTATAACGTACAAACTTCTGTACAAGAAGTATATGTCCTAATAATCACTGTGATTCAGTCTACCACTCGTTTCTAAGGACGATTGTAAAAATTAAATTATCAGTTTATTCAGTTTCTATTTAGATATGTGTATATATCTTGTCAATAATATACGAAAGGGAAAAATACATGTATACACGATATACAGCAGCATGTATATCCCAAAAAGATATATATAATGCATGCGCTCACGTTAATATATATCGAAATGAGGAACATTTGTGTATAATTTTTGCGCATATGCGTACTGATTTAAATTCTTTTAGAGATTGATTTAGCATATCTCTATATATAAATATATATATATTTGTATTTATATTTAAACACACACAAATGGAAAAATTATAATTGAAAGAAATAATTATTGTAAATAAATATATAGAGGTGTCACGTCAAAGTGATAATCTTGCTGTTTTTCGTAAAAAGACTTCAGTTTAGATACCTGTAAGTAAAGCGTAAAACGACAACATGTATAAATAGATGAATTCTGAGCTGTAAAGTTCTATAATATAAATATGTAGGCAAGATATACAGGTACAAAGGATATGCTACATCGGAAGACTTAAGAAGGCGAATACGAGAAGACCAAGACTAAAATCGTTGTTAACCTTAATTCTGTTAATTTTATTTATAATTAATCCAATTTATTCAAACATTCACATTTTTGGCGTACATTTATGCTTTAATCATCCTAGCCATCCTCCGTATTACAATTTAGTAATTCATACTATAGATAGTTTTGATGAGTTTCTCGTAATATACGAATGGCGAATCATTGTGTATTTATTTAGTATTTACATTATTCGTTTTTTTGCATGTACGTTACGTTAACTGACACTATTTTTATAATGGAATTCAGTCTTCGGATGTTTTTGAACATAATGTCATGCAAAATAATATTGTAAAATAATATTCGAATGCTGCAATATACTTAAGCGTACTCAGACATTCGCTTAAAATATTTCTATGAGCAGTGAATGAATCTTTAACGCTATCAAAACATTATTAAAATTTTTTCTAGATTCTAGTATTTTTTATTTTATGGTTATATTTATGTATATATACACATGTGTATTAATATCTCTTCAAAAAGATCCAACAAGCGCAGCATTCGACAATTATGGAAAATACTTATTTACCAGCGTTCACTGATTCAATATATGTAAAATAATCATAAAATATATGTTACTGTTTTTACTTATTCCACAAATATTTTGACACGTATAACTTTTTTCGTTATTTATTTTTAAAAATAAAGGCAGGTAAATCGAATGTTTCATTTCTTTAATATATAATTGTTTAAATCATGTTTTTGATAGTAAATCAAGCACAATACCAATAGTATAAATATGAGAATGGTATAAAATGAATATTAAAATGAAAATTAAAATTTACTATATTAAATAGTAGTAATTAATATTAAAACTTTCAATAGATATTTTTTAAACATAATTTATATGTATTTATGATATACTATTAAAACATGTACATATACTGCACATTCTCATATATATATATATATATATATATGCATTTCTCTACGTAATAATAGAAATTATTCTCGAATTTCTTTATTGTAAAGGGTGTGTTCCGCATGGTGTATATAATGTATCATTTTATCCCCGATATTATTTGAATATTAAAAAAGGATAAAATAATACACGCCCATCATGCATGAAATGGAATGCATCAACCAAAAATATCTTATACATACATATATACATAAATAATATATATGTAATAGTATATATTTATATATAAAATAAGTATATACAAAAACGATATAACAAAATCGTTTTAAATACCAAAGTTTATGATGCCTCCTGACACATTTATATACATATATCTATGTGTGTGTGTGAGTGTGTGTGTGTGTATACACACATGTGTACATATGTGTATATATGTATGTATATATATAATATGTATATATTTACCTGACAATATTAAGATTAATTGAACAACACAAATCCTTCCTTGTGTTAAAAAAAAAATAGAAAAGCATATATGTATTTGTCTTTTGAGTTGAAAAACAATAAAATCATGATCTTTACATAATTTGCACCGTCTTTAATGGACCAGTAGATTACAGTACAATGAGAATTTTCATGTTTTATATTTAAAAATATATCATGTATTTCAAGAAGTTAAAAAAAAAAAGAGATATTTGATCTTTTATATTCTAATATATTCTGTGCAAAAATACATAATGTAAGAAATGCAGATGAAGAGATCTATTAATATAAATAAAATAATGTTCGTATATATAACATATACATTTATAAATAATGATGTAAAATGCTTTGAAAAATATAATGTTTTAAAACATGACACATATTTTTACATATAACTTTTATTCAAGAATTTACAATAAGTGTAAAATCTAATATATTTTATTTGCGTATATTATCTGTTTGATTTATTTGTATCGGTAATATGTAGTAAAAAATTATGTTTATGGTATGAAAAAATAGTTACATTGTTCAAATTGTAATATTCGATATTAATAGATTCTCTTTCTTTTTTTTTTTTTTAAATATAATCTTCCAAAAATTTGTTTATACGAACATATTCAAGTAAAAAAATATATTTATATAAACATCTCTATATTTTCATTTATAATGTTATAATAAATATTGTTCCATTATTAATACGTAAAATGCAGTTATCATTCGTGAATATTATACAAGATAATGCTTTAGAATGTTGTAAAATTCTGTAAGAATGTAAAGTGTAATTAGAATAATTTATAAATGGGTTTACATATATAATATGTAAACTTATATAATTTAAATACATATATATATATATGTATTTTAATACGTAAAATATACTGCATATAGAAAAATATATATATTTGAGTTATTCATATATATATATATATATATATACATATATATATGTATAGTAATTATTGTCTCATATGAGACATGATATTAATATAATTGAATCACATGCCTATACCACTTTGTATTGTGGAATATGTAAAAAGTGACATATATGACTTTAGATAAATTATAAACAAAATAATTGGCACAATATCTAATAGGAAAAAATTATGTTTCAGGAGATAATATAATTGTGGCTGAATTATAAATGGACAATTTTTGTAACACTTGTAAGAATATATAATAGGTAATGAAAGCTTCAAATCTTAATACGTGTTTACATCCAGTGTGTCCAATTTTTTACTCATATTTATCAAGTATGTGAATCATATAACCCATTCGCTTGAGCTAACCAAATGATAATTGAAGTGTACAGCGATAACAACCGCTGTACAATATTGTTTTATATAGGATATTATATGTATGTACACCGATGCATTAACTCGTAATCGAGGAGGAAATACCTTGCTATTCTTCATTGTTCTACAAGATTGTTACATAAATAAACAATAAATACAATTTTACGCTTATATCTTTATATATTAATACGTATGTATGTGCATGTATATATGTAGTTTTAGTGCATATTTAATTGAGCTTGCTTTAAGACACGTTTGTATGGCTTGCTAGTTGCATGATCTTCCATTATTCTTTCATTATTCTTTAGACTAAATACAACAATATTTTATTAATGACAAGTTAAATATAATGTTCATAATTTTTTGTTAACAAGTTATATATAAATATCTATATGATTGGAAATTAAGAAAATATCATTAATCACTCAATTATAAATGAATTTCGTATAAATTGCAAATGAATCAATTTCATTCATTATGTATATTCGTTTCTATTTTATTTAAGTCGCATTTATCAAATCTTCACGCATGGCCTGTAACTTTATTACAGGTCCTCTAAACGACTAAAGATGGAAGCAGGCTATAACTCATACCCGAGCAGGCTTGGCGCAGAAGCTCATTATGGTGAAGATAATTTGTTTAATCAAAGCGGGCCGTACATAGTGTCTACGCCATCGTACTATTTTAATACTTCACCCATTAAATCGCAGTCGAATCTGAAGGGAGATAAATCATTGGAGTGTACAGAAGATAGTCTATCCCGGAGACTGATAATTCTCTCGAACGCCTTGAATCAGGGAAAACCGATTCGAGTCGACGATCTTCTCGCGTTGCGGTCAGAACAGAATGAGGTAATATGTAAAGAGATTTTTTTTTTTAGACAATTTTTTATAATAATGTATCTTGTATCAATTATAATAATCGCTTCGTTTACAATAACTAATTTTTATATTTATTAAAGATTAAGGAAATATTTTTTAAGAATATAAAATTTTTTCTCATTCTTAACATCTATAATATTTACAGTGCGATCCCAAAGTGGTACAGTTATTGGGAGATCTACGCGCGGAGCTTCGTCTTATCGCAAACGCTCGACCAGGTGGACAACTGGATCCTCATCTTCCCATATTGATCCCACCTCTTCTAGGTATACGCATACTTAATACTCCAGGCATTATATCCGTTGCATTGATATTGATAATTGATAAATAATTTTTCCTGTAGATACACCGCATATGTCAGGCAATTTTGATGCGCACGCGGTGTATGCCGGCGACGATGCCGTGAGCTCTCACTGGAGGTGGTCCCAGTTGGCCACTGCTGGTGTTCGGAGCGCTTTGTCGGCGCTCATATCGTATCATGGTCTGGATAACGTCTATAACCCTGCTACTTCTGCGTCTGCCATCGGCCGATTATTGTCAAATAAACCGCCAGGACAACCCAACCTGGCGCAAAACCTTTTCCTGCCCTCAACTTCCTCGCAACAATCTACTTTTAATTCGTAATGTGATTTTACAAAGTCGTACGGTTCATGACCGTGTTTCGTGTATGTTGTATGTGTGCGTATGTATGAAATTAGAAAGAATCTATAAATCGCTATTTTTCAAATTACGCTGGTGACATAGAGAGATAGAGAGACTGAGAGAAGAGAGAGCGAGCGAGCGTGCGAGAAAGAAAGATGATACAATCATATCATCGATTTGTGTACAGTCTCCATTATCACTCCATTAGTTCTAAGTGCACGTTCAATGTATAATTGTATAATATGCGACCAGATACTTAATTAGAATACAACTTCTCTTTCAATGACAATGGTATTACAGTTATCATGATACTTATCAAATTGCTAATGATACCGATTATTTCCAAGTTATTTTTCGATCAATCATGCGTTGAAGAATATTCTCTGACGTTTCTTTCCTGCATCATTACGAAAGGTCTGTGATACACATGTATATTTATATATATATATACAAATATATATACATATATACATTACATATTGCGAGTGGGAAGATGAATCTAAAAAGGAACTCAAACTCCGATGCTTGTTTTCATTCTGGTGAAAAGAAAAAGACAAATTTTTGTTTATGATGCTCGACGTGAGATTTTTAAAAAGCTTTGCGTTCTATTTCAATCTCATGAAAGAATTTTATTTCAAGAGAAATTAGGCGACGCTATGAGGGAACGTTGATAAATTTATGTAACATTATAAATGTGAATATTTATTTATCGTTTAAGATTTTTTATATAAGATACTACTATATATTGCGAACGCTTATTTATTACGAATGTATTTACAGTATACAATGTACATATATGCTAAGACTATATAATAAAGATGTCAACGGATGAATCTCAAGGCTTATTAAATCAAAACATCTATTTATGCGCTTATTATAATGCAAAAAATATGTATGTAAATATACATATGCCTTCAAATATACATATGAATTCTTATGTATTATTTTTCAATTGATCAGAGCTGTATGAATATTTTTATGGCTCTCAGATATATTTTTACTTTTCTTTCTGTAAAATTGAAAAAAATTATTCGGAATTATATCTTTGGTGTCCACGACTAGACGGTCCTGAACTCCTGAGTTTATATGTGTACAGTTAGCAACTAAAAGATTGTAACACTTTTTTCAATGAGTTTCAAAATGCAACCTGCTCATTGAGTGATTATTACTTATGGATCCATAAGAACTAATCGCTCGGTGAATTCCGTTGGTTGTATTCCGAAACTGATTTAAAAAAATGTGTTGCAATCTTTTAGTTGCTGACTGTACATATATGACACATCTGATACATGTCATCATACACATACATATGTACGTACATACATACATACAACATACATATGTAACGGGTAAACTGTTATGGCGGAGTGGGTTAGAATGTGTCGAAACGTTGATGATCGGTACAAATAAATATTAAAGATTGTATAACTAATTAGTAAAGGTACATTGTGAAGACAAATCGCGTATATGCACTTTTACGATTTTTTGAGAACAATTTAAGCAGGTATTTATTGAAAAAACAGGAAAGATACATCAAATACACGTGTTGCTCCGAAAAGATCGAAGTGTACTCCAAACAACAATGTCAATAATTCAGCAGTTTAATTATTTGACGCAGAACGAGACTGCGAGAAAAGCAATGGAGAGCTACGTTGAAATCTTGCAAAAAGCATTTGAACATTATCAAAGTAAGTATATATTCTTACTATTATTTATATCTAATTGATATGATATTCTTTTTCTATTAAATATTAAAGGAATGTTAAAATATTTGAAAAATAACATTTATAGTATTTAACTACTCACATTTCACATGAACTTATGTATTTTTGGAATCGTAGAATTGATCAATTTAGAGTTATAAATACTTTGGAAAACTTTCATATAGAAATACTCAAGTAAGAGATTGATCATTTAGTCAGCTTCTGATTGGTCCGCCATGTTTGGTATGGTGCTTAAGATGAAATGAGATAAATGCATAAGTCATAAGATATATGTATATATAAAGTGCGTCAGAGGCACACGTTATTAGCGCTATTTGTGTCGTTTTATTTTTGTTTTACGTCTAATTAACGATGAAGATAGAATGACAAAATTAATAGCACTAATAGCATTTTGATCCTTGATCGCACCTATGAGATACATGAATAACTCATTCTTATGCATTATCTATCAGCTATCTCATTGTATCTTATTTTTATGGCGTTAAAGAGAAAGAAAGCTAAAATGCTGATTGCTGAATGCAACAAGTGCAAGCAACGCGAACAAACCCAGTATCTTCGCTTTCTTTCTTTTCAATGCCCGAATATATATTTCTCTTTTAGGGGCTCCGCACAATAAAAGGAACAGGGTACAGAGAACAGAGAATAAGAATTTCAACCTATCAGAAATCATATATTGTGGAATACGCAGTATGTATTCCATAATACATGATTTCTGATAGGTTGAAATTCTTATAGCGTATTCGATTTACTGACTCGACCCGACTCCGACTCAATGGTCTGTTCTGTTTAGCTGCAAAAGAAGAGCTAAATTATACAAGAAATGCAGCTAAAAAGAACAGACTTGATTCAGAGTCGGTCGAGTCAGTAAATCAAATACTCTATTATTCTCTGTTCTCTGTTCCCTGTTCCTTTTATTTTGCAGAGCTCCTTAAAGTGCAAAAATTTGTAGGGATTTTAAGCTGTGTGAATACATCACAAATCACATGAGATCTGTTCGCGTTATTTGCACTTTTTGCACTCGGTATATTCGCTTTCTCTTTTCAAGAATATATATCTATTTCATTTTAAGTGCAAAAATATTTGAGAGCTTTATGCAACGTGAACAGATCTATGAAACACGCGAAAATATTAAATTTGATTTATGCTGCTATTTGCAGTCAATATATAGGTCTAGGGATCGATTCTGTATCTTGAAACGAGGTGAAAATGGGGTGATCCCGATTGACCACGGCTCGATTGGACACCACCAATCACAGCGACCGGTGCTTAGGAGCTTTGTAGTCTCAAGCGCTGTGAGTGGCTCGTGTCCAATTGAGCCGTGTCCAACTGGGTGCCACCCGGTGAAAATGATAAAAGTGAACAAATTTACTAGGTGTTGACCAATGAAATTATCAATATTCTAGTAAATTCGCTCACTTTTGCAATTTTCACTTCGTTTCAAGATACAGAATCGATACCTTATTCGTGTTACATGAAATTTAAAATGAGATGGATACATATTTTGTCTTGAAAAGAGAGAAAGCGAAGATATCGAGTGCTAAAAGTGCAAGCAACGCGAACAGATTTAATCTTGTAAAGCCAAATGTCCACGATGCTAGAAATCGATCCAAGATCTCGGACAGAGAAAAAATTAACAAATCATATTTGAACAATTTGATCACATGACCATTGCGATTGGTCAATTCTTTCTTCATCTGGGGCTCGGACCGATTTTTAGCATTGTGGACACAAGGCTTAACAAACGCTGATAGTAAATTTTCGCACGACTATCCAAAATTTACTAGACCACTAGACCAAGCATTAGAAGCGCGCCAAAATTTAAACATTGCGATATGCATTAATGCTTTTTGAAAACAATTTTCTAAATTAAGCCATGCCGCTAGCTAAATATTTAAAAGCTATTTATGTACTGAATTGTTTATATAAGCGATTTGTATAATTGTTGTAATATTTTGTTTTACAGATTTGTGGGAAGATTATATAAAATTGCAGGAAAAGTATCAACAGTGTAATGCGTGAGTTTACAATTATTGTTTATTTATATAATTCACATTTATATAATTTATAGATTCTAAGTCAAAACTTAAATTATTTATAACTTAATATATAACTTAATAAATTCTAATAATATTTCGCCAATGTGTATAAAAGTTTGTGCATGTGTGTGTGTATCATATACACATATCATATATTGTATAATATACATATGAACATATAATTTTGTAGACTGCATTCTTCATCTCAAGTGACGATTGATACGAAAATAAAAAATGAAGCAACTTCGCAACAGTCGCAACAGTCGAATAACGCTGAAGGGCAAGAAAATAGTAGTACTCCATCTTATATTCCATTATTGAGATTAGTTACAAATTCGATTGATTTTAATTCCGATACAGAACCTAGTCTGTCAGATACAAGTGAAGTGCACAAAGATACCAACGAAAATAATCGGCCAGAAAGTCCAATATTCTCTAAAATATGTCCAAAAACTGATGCCAAATCTGCAAAGAAATTGCGTTTATCTAAAATGTTATGCAGTGACTCAACTTCAGATATGAAGACGCATCATGGTGAAAAAGTTTCTTCAAAGTATAATCACAAATTAGCAATTTGTACAACACATCATGTGGAAACCACAATTTTGCCAGATGGAAAGAAATTGAAGCAATCTCGACTTGCATTTTATCCAGTCAAAAGTAACGAAAATACGGTATTAGCCTCAAGTGTAGATAAACGTAAGCCAACTAGTAGATTGTATAATGTCGAACAGAATTTTACTGAAGAAATTTCTATAGTAAATGCTGAAGAAATTTCTACTGAAAATGCAAGTATTACTGAAAGTACTAAAAAAAGTGCTACAAACAACAGTATTGAAATTTCTGAGGATGTGATAGAAGTCAGTCCTACACAGAGAAATATCACATCTAAAGTCAAGCGACGTTTAAAATTGAAGAGGAAAAATCCTGCAAGACATATAATGAAAAATTCTCCGAATAAAAATAAATATCTGAATCATAGAACTGGTCCTAGTGTTCCAGAGATAATAAATGTAGATTTTGGGTTATGTTCTTCGCCGAAACATACTTCTACACAAATAGACAATGATAAATCCTTAACGAATACTACAGTTAATACAGTTAATACATTGAGAGATAAAATTAGCACAAATTATCTTTCACCAATAAAAATGGATAATAAAACCAATGTTCAATTTAAAAAATTTATTAAAGCTCAAAAGGAAGATCTATTATTAAAACAGAATCTTAATAACATGAAAGACTTTGCCTACGAAGATGAATTGTTTGATCCGCCAGTAGCTACAAAGAAAAATGACATGGATAATTTAAAGGACGAAACATGTTCTGATGATTCAGAAAACAAGCCACCTGAAAAAAAGGCATTATTGAATAAATTTAATGTGTAGGTATTAATTAATAATTGTGTTAATGTAAGTTGCTTTTATATATGTATCTAATGGAAATATTATTTACAGATTCCCAGAAAGAAAGGCAGATGTTTCAGAACAGCTCAACATGCGATGTAAAGCTGATAGAGAAAAATTAAATGGTTTGGATTGCTGGGAATGTAGAAAAGTAATGCACAATATTAATATGTATAGTTACATAAAATGTATATTACAAAAAGCAATACTTTTTCTGTAGAAAAATAACTCATATTTGATTTTCAGTATTAT